CGACGTGGTGTCGTCGTCCGTCGTGGACGACACGGTCGCGTGGTTCCAAGGGGGGTGTGAAGTGAGCCACTATCCGACGCCCGTTCCAAGTCCTCTTCCGAGCGCGGCGCCCTCGTCGGTGCCCACCTCGGAGCCGTCCGTGTCTCCTGTGCCCACGCCGATCCCCTCGACGCTGCCGACGCCGATTCCGGGGGCAATGCCCACGCCTAGTCCTTCATCGACGCCCTCGGCGACGCCTACGTCCGCGCCGGCGATATCGCCCGTCCCGACGATGCCGCCCGCGAGCCGCCCTTCGTCGATTCCGAGCACGCCTCCGTCCCCGGCGCCTTCGAGCCTGCCGTCAGCGCGGCCGTCGTCGGCTCCTTCGACGCCTCCGTCGCCTTCTCCGTCGTCCCTGCCCTCGGCGTGGCCGTCCTCGGCTCCGTCGACGCCTCCGAGCTCTGCACCGAGCAGTGCGCCAAGCGCGCGGCCATCGTCGGCCCCGTCCAGCGCCCCGTCTCCGTCACCGTCGAGCGCGCCCTCAGCAGCGCCTTCTGGGAAACCGTCCAGCGCGCCCAGCGCCGCGCCGTCGGCATCGCCGAGCGTCACGCCCTCCGCGGCTCCGAGCAGCGCGCCGTCGTCAGAGCCGTCACCGACGCCAACGTCTGCCCCGTCGACGCCGCGCTCACCAGCCCCGACGTCGTCGCCGACGTCCTCTCCCAGCGCGACGCCAACAACAGCCGTGCCCTCGCCGAGTCCCACAGACCCGCCGAGCCCAGCGCCCACCGGTTCGCCGGATCCGTCGCCGGTGCCCACCGCGGTACCCCCGTCATCAGTACCCACAGGATCACCAAGCGCTGAACCGTCTAGCGCGCCTTCTGCGGCACCGTCGACACCGCCGTCGCCCGCTCCGACGGCGACGCCCAGCGGCCACCCGTCACCCGCGCCGTCGCACTATCCTTCGCCGGCACCCACGTCAGCGCCGTCGACGTCGCCGGCTCCAACGAGCGCGCCGTCGTCCAGACCGTCTCCCGCGCCGAGCCAGCAACCGTCGCCAATCCCGACGCCACTGCCCTCAACGAAACCGTCCCCAACTCCCACGTCACCACCGTCCGCCATCCCGCGACCAGCACCCACCGCGATGCCGACCGTCGTGCCCGGCCACCCGTCGCGCGCCCCGATACCGAGACCGACCACGTCTATGCCCTCGACGACGGCGCCGACGGCGTGCGCCGACCAGCCCGCGCCCGCTCCCGTCGCCATCGCGGCCGCGGCCTTCGACGCCACGGGCGCGACGGTGACGGTGGCGCTCTCCGCGGCCACGGACCGCGCGGGCAACGGCGGCGCGTCGTTCCCCTGCGGCGACGTCGTCGCGCTCGCCGGCGCCGCGACGGCGACGTGCGTCTTCCTCGACGACGCGACGCTCCGGGCCTCGCTCGACGGCGCGTCGACGACGGTGCCCGGTGACGCCGCCGCGCTCGTCGCCGGCGACCTGCGCCATCTCAACGCGCTCGCCTGCTGGGACGACGCGGTCGACGGCGCCGCGGTCGCGATCGCCGCGCCCGCGGACCCCGTCGCGCACGCGGCCGTGCTCCAGGCGCCCGAGGCCGTCGGCTCCTGCGGCGACCTCGCCGTCGACGCGTCGGCGAGCTCCGGCGGCGGCGGCCGCGCGCTCGCCTACGCCTGGGCCGTCGCCGGCGGCTCCGCCGCCGCGGCCGAGGCCGCGGCGCAGGCGTCGTCCGCGCTCACGGTGTCGCGCGCGGCGCTCGACGCGGCCGTGTCCGCCGCGGGCGGCGACGCGACGCTGACCGCGAGCCTGACGGTGACGAACTTCCTCGGCGCGACGTCGCCCGCGGCGTCGGCGACGATCGTCGCGCGCGC